TTCAGAGTGTTTAAATAAAGATGAGGCATAAAGTGCTTTATCATATGGAATAAAAGTGCGAGTGATATCTATTAGGTTGGTTTTTGAAATTCTGTGGAATTTGTACCGGATACGGAAATGTCCGGTTTTCAATTGGATAATTACTCTACCGAATATCAGATGTACGGTTTTTTTGGATATCCGACAATTTTGTGATCCGGTGTACCCCTAATTATAATGTTCAAATATTATTTCTTTTTTTCTTTGTAAAAAAAGAGTTCTAATGATAATCGGAAGATAAAAAATTTTACTAGTTGTTTTAGCCTAAACTATGTCTAAATTATTCTTCTTTGTGCAATTTGAAAAATCAAATATGTATATAAATTCACACAGAAATATTTAAGCACTAACAATAAGTTCCGCTTTGACTGAATACTATTATAATTAAATTTATCGTTATAGGTCCAAATTCGTATCACATTGTTTAAATATTAAAAGCACTAGTGTTATTCAACACTTATTTCACAAAATCGATACTTCTATCTAATAAAAACAATTATGTCTATTTAATAAAAATGATGTTGTTTAGAAAATTTTAATTAATCTTTTATAATAAAAGAATAATTTTAAAATGAGCTACAAATGCAACAGATGTTAGAATCTCATCTAAAACAAGAAAAAAACAATAACTTTCACAACTTAAAAAACATTAAGATGTTTTATAAAACGTTCAAAAGGTATCTTGAACTTTTTAGACATTTTATAAAATTATCAGAATGAGACATCTTTAAGATGTTTTATAAAATGTTTTATGTTTTGATTTAAGACATCTTTTAAGCATGTTTTATATATGTATTCAAAATGATAACAAAATTATAAAAAATTACAGTTTATTCTAAATCACATTTAAAAATAATACGACAAATTTGACGGTTTACCGTATGGATCATAAGTTATTTTAACAAATAATATTATTATTTAAATCTGTGTTCTAATAAAAATATATGGAAATATACATATTATAAAATAAAAACTATAAAATAAGTAATAAAAATTTCAATTTTTTAATATAAGTACATTATGTACTCAAGATTATTTACATAGAGTTATATTGTGATGCATGAACTAGTTGTCCAGTAAATAAACAAAATATTTATTTGTTCCATATCTTTGTAACTAATCAATGAATCGTAATAGAACTTTGCATAAATTATTTTGAATATTTAAGTACTTGTAAAAGAAAAATGTATATATTTTATCATTTTTAAGATTTTAATTTGTAACAATAAAAATAATAACAAATAAAATAAATAAACTACAAAAATGTGTTATTAAACAAAAATATAATTTTATT